TTGTTTAAAATCAATAATGAAAAAGGATGTTCCAAATATATATAACATTTTTATTGTTATACTCTATAGTTATCAAAATGGAAGAAGGAAGTAACTAGATCCAGATGGAGACCGTTAGATGCCAGCTGAATTCCCCTAACTAGTAAAACTTCCCCTTTGCATTTTCAGCTTCGAAACAATATTTATTTCTTCATTGTATAGTTTTTTTATTATGAACATAACTCTCTTTTTTTTTTTAACATCCTAAAAAAATAACTCGGCTCTTTGTTTTTGGGTATAGAATAAAACCTCATTCTTGCATACACTGACTAACACACTTTTACGCCCCTTTACCTGCCACATATTTATTTGTTATTCATCATGCATAATTAGCTAATTTATTTAATTATTATACTCTTGGTAATATTTTTTGAACTACCATGAGGTAATATTATCAGGTAATATATATTTTTTTTGAATTATCAGAAGATTCTGCACCGAATTTTGTAATCTCTCATGTAATATCGTACTATATATTGGTTTTAAAATTGATAGCATAAAATTAATGATGATTTTTGTTTTCAACAATGTTATAAGTAAAATGTTATAAAAAAACATCAATCTTATGGTTAACTTCCATCAGAAAATTAGTATGTTATACCAGTATGGTCGATGACACTATACAAAATAGATTATGATTTAAAAGTAACTTTGCAAAAAAGTTTAACTTTTGTGCAAAGTTTCAACGATTTTGTTTTTATTGGCAATTGACAAAGAGAAGGGACCTTTGCAACCCCTGAAGAAATCAGATAGGGGCAATAGTAAAGTATACAAACTGTATAATTAACAAAAGGATTAAATGTTGGACAGCACATCTCTATATAGTGTACCTGACCTCGCTTGCTTTTTTTTTTTCTTTTGTCGTCTTTTGATTATTATCTGATAATTTGTTTAAGGCAAGGGTCGAACCCTGTACCCTGCCCAAGTGCCATAGAGCGGTGTAACCACTTCACCACGATGCTCACGGCGACCTCGCTTGCAGAAATTCAAACTAAACGT